ATCTTTATAGTATTTTTTTTAAAATCAGGGCATGGAATACCTCCAGATTTGTTCTTTCTCAAGATGGCTTTGATTATTCAGGGTCTTTTGTGGTTCCATTCAAATTTTAGGGTTATTTGTTCTAGTTCTGTGAAAAATGCTGTGGGTATTTTGATAGAAACTTCATTGAATCTGTAGATTGCTTTGGGTAGTATAGACTTTTTAACACTATAAATTCTTCCAGTCCATGAGCGTAGAATATCTTTATGCTTATTTATGTTGTCTTCAATTTATTTCATCAGTGTCATATAGTTTTCAGAGTGTAGATCTTTCACCTCCTTGGTTAAGTTATTCCTAAGTATTTTATATTTTTTGATGCAGCTCTAAATGGGATCATGTTCTTGCTTTCTCTTTCTGATGGTCATTTTTAATGTATAGGAGTGCAGATTTATGTATATTAATTCTTCTGCATCCTTACTGATTTCTTATTAGCTCTAATGGTTTTGAGTGGAGTTGTTAGAGTTTTTTATATGAAGTATCATGTCATCTACAAACAGTGACAGTTTTACTTCTTCCCTTCTAATTTGGATGCCTTTTATTTATTTTTATTGTCTGATTCCTGTGGTTAGGACTTCCAATAGTATATTAAATAAGAATGAACATTCTTTTCCTGTTCTTAGAGAAAAAGTATTTACCACTTACTTTTCACCATTTACTATAATGTTTACCTGTGGTTTTGTCACATATGGCCTTTATTATGTTGAGATATATTCCCTCTATACCCACTTTGATGACAATATTTATCATGAGTGATTGTTGAATTTTGTCAAATGCCTTTTCTGCACCTTTTGTAATAATCATGTGATTTTATCCTTCCCTTAGTTAATGTGATGTATCACAGTGATTGATTTTCAGATACTGAACCAAATTTGCACTCTTGGGAGAAATCCCATTTGATCATGGCGTAAGATTCTTTTTATATGCTGTTGAATTTTGTTTGCTAATATTTTGTCGAGGATCTTTGCATCCATATTTTTCAGATTTATTGGCCTGTAATTTCCTTTTTTGTAATGTCTTTGGGTTTGATATCAATGTAATACTGGATTCAAAGAATGAGTTTGGAAGTGTTCCTTTCTTTTTAATTTTTTGGAAGAGTTTGAAAGGGATAAGTGCCAATTCATCCTTAAATGTTTGGTAGAATTCCACTGTGAAGCTATGTGATCCTGGAGTTTGTTGGGAGTTTTTTTGGTCTTTTTTAAAAATTTAATTGCAGATTCAGTTTCATTACTGGTAATTGGTCTTTTCATATTTTCTACATTTTCCTGGGATATTTTACATTTCTTGCAGTTTGTGCATTTCTTCTAGATTGTCCAAGTTGTCATATAAATGTTTGTAGTATTCTTCAGCCATTGCCTTTCTGTGATGTCTTCAAAACTTCTTGTTCATTTTTTTTATTGTATTTATTTGGGCTCTTTTTTTTCTTGATAAATCTGGCTAAAAGTTCATCAATTTTCTTTATATTTAGAAAGTTAACCTCTTAGTTTTATTGATTCCCCCCCCCTTTTGTGTCTTTGTTTCATATATTTCTCTCCTTGGGCTCTCCCCTTTTCTTTATTATTTCCTTCCTTCTAAATGTTGGGCTTTGTTTTATTTTTGTAATTCTTTCAGATTTCTAGTTAGGTTTTTTGATACTTTTGTTTGTTTCTTGAGGTAGGCTTGCAATGTTATAAACTCCTCACCTGTATTTGTTGCATCCCATAGATTTTGAGAAGTTCTGTTTCTATTTTCATTCATCTCATCTTTAAATTTCCTCTTTGACTTGTTCATTGACCCTTTCATTTTCTAGCAACCTGTTGTTTGGTCTTCATGTGTTTGTGTCTTTTCCACCTTTCATCCTATAATTGATATCTAGTTTCATACCCTTATGGTATGAAAAGATACCATAGTATCAAGATATGGTATACTATCTGATACCAAGTATCAGAAAAGATACTTGATGTGATTCTACTCTTCTTAAATTTATTGAGATTAGTTTTGTGGCCTACCGTGTGATATGTCCTGGTGAATATTCTATGTGCTCTTGAAAAGAATGCATATTCTGTAGCTTCTGGATGGAATGCTTAGTAAATATCTATTGAGTTCAACTGTCAACATATCTTTGAAGGCCAGTGTTTTCTTATTGATTTTCTGTCTGGATGATTTATTCATTGTTGTAAGTTGGGTATTAAAATCCCCTACTAATACTTGTTATGGCAATTTCTGCTTTTATTGTGTCTGTTATTATTTGGCTTATATGTTTAGTTGCTCCTATGTTAGGTACATGTATATATTTATTAATATTATTTCCTCTTTTTGGGTTGAGCCCCTTAACATTATGTGATGCCCTTCTTTTCCTTTTGTTACAGTCTTTGTTTTAAAGTCTATTTTGCTGATAAAAATTGTATTACCCCTGGTTTCTTTTCATTCTGTTTGAATGGAACATCCTTTTCCATCCTTTCACTTTCAGTCTATGTGTGTCTTTAGCTCTGAATTGAGTCTCTTGTAGACAGCATATAGATGATTATTTACTTATTTATTGTTTATCTGTTTAGCTACCCTGTGTCTTTTCGTTGGGGCATTGAGTTTATTTCCACTTAAAGTGATTATTGATAGGCATGTGCTTTTTACCATTTTTTTTTTAATTTAAAAAAAAATTTTTTTCCATTTATTTTTATTAGTTGGAGGCTAATTACTTTACATCATATGCATTTTTGTCATACATTGAAATGAATTAGCCATGGATTTACATGTATTCCCCATCCTGGTCCCCCCTCCCACCTCCCTCTCCACCCGATCCCTCTGGGTCTTCCCAGTGCACCAGGCCCGATGTTTTCTGGTTGTTTTTGTTGTTGTTCAGTCCATAAGTCATGTCCAACTCTTTGTGACACCATGAATTGCAGCATGCCAGGCTCCCCTGTCCTTCACTGTCTCCAAGAGTTTGCTCAGATTCATGTCCGTTGAGTTGTGATGCTATCTAACCATCTCATCCTCTGCTGTTCCCTTCTCCTTTTGCTTTCCATCTTTCCCAGCATCAGTGTCTTTTCCATTGAGTTGGCTCTTTGCATCAGGTGGCCACAATGTTGGAGCTTCAGCTTTATCCTCAGTCTTTCCAATGAATATTCAAGGTTGACTTCTTTAGGATTGACTGGTTTGATCTCCTTGCAGTCCAAGGGACACCGAAGAGTCTTCTCCAGCACCACATTTCACAGGCCTCAACAGTGCTTAGTCTTATTTATGGTCCAACTCTCGCATCCATACATGACTACTGGAAAAACCATAGCTTTGACTATGCGGACCTTTGTCAGCAAAGTAATGTTTCTGCTTTTTAATGTGCTGTCTAGGCTTGTCATCACTTTCCTTCCAAGGAGCAGATATCTTTTAATTTCATGGCTGCAGTTGCCACTCACAGTGATTTTGGAGCCCCAGAAAATAAAATCTATTGCCTTTTCCCCTTCTGCTTGCTGTGAAGTGGTGGGAGCAGATGCTATGATCTTAGTTTTTTGAATGTTGAATTTTAAGCCAGCTTTTTCACTTTCCTCTTTTACCCTCATCAAGAGGTGCCTTAGTTCCTCTTTGTTTTCTGTCATTAGAGTGGTATCACCTGCATATCTGAGGTTGGTGATATTTCTCCTGGCTACCTTGATTCTAGCCTATGTTTCATTCAGGCCAGCATTTTGCATGATGTGCTGTGCATATAATTTAAATAAGCAGAGTGACAATATACAGCCTTGACATACTCCTTTTCTAATTTTGAACCAGTCTTTTCTTCCATGTCTGGTTTTGACTGTTACTTCTTGGCCTGCATACAGGTTTCTCAGGAGGCAGGTAAGGTGGTCTGGTATTCCCATCTCTTGAATAATCTTCCACAGTTTGTTGTGATCCACACAGTGGCTTTAGTGTAGTTAATGAAGCAGAAGTAGATGTCTTTCTGGAATTCTGTTGCTTTTTCTATGATCCAGTGAACGTTGGCAATTTCATCTCTGTTTCCCCTGCCTTTGCTGAAGTTCTTGGTTCATGTATTGTTGAAGTCTAGCTTTAAGAATTTTGAGCATTACTTTGCTAGAATTTGAAATGAGTGCAGTTGTGTGGTTGTTTGCGCATTCAGTGTCATATTATAGCAAAAATCATCAGCATAGCAAGTACTATTTAGCTGAGTGACTGAATCTTGAGTATGATCATCTAATCATTTTCTGTTCTCAAATGCTTTTCTTTTGAAATGAAGTATGTATATTTTGTTAATTGTCTTATTGATTTACAAGTCAATATCAACTATGTTTAATGACATGAATCTCTAGAGTATCTTTGTGAACTACTGAGAGTTCATCAATCACTAATTTGAAACACTGACTTAAATCAGAGATAAAATTGGATTTGATAGAAAATAATTTGAAGCCAAATTTGTGGCCACATTTTTCAAGTGCATAGGCCTGAATGGCATAAACACTGTTTATTCAGGTTATCACCTTAATTTCATGTTCATTTTCTCTTCCATTTTTCTTTTGTTCTGGTTTTCCCATTTATTTGTATGTTGTGTCATACATACTTACGCTTCCCTGGTGGCTCAGATTGTAAAGAATCTGCCTGCAATGCAGGAAACATGGGTTTGATCCCTGGGTTGGAAGATCCCCTGGAGGAGTGTATGGCAACCCACCCCAGTATTCTTGCCTGGAGAATCGCCATAGACAGAGGAGCCTGGCAGGCTACAGTCCATGGGGTCGCAGAGTCATACACAACTGAGTAGCTAAGCACAGTACATACATACTTACAAGTTTAGTTTTCTCATTTCATTGGTATATATTTATATTGAATAGAGTTATTTTGCCAATATTTTTCAATGTTGAAAATATTCAGGTTTGGGAAGATTGGTATTTTAAATAAAGTTGTGTAATGTAGTATTAACATTAATTAACATTAATCTTTACTTGGAACAAGCTAAAATTAATGCTAGGATTACAAAAATGATTGTTCTTTATGTTTTCCAGTTGCTAATAGGTTATGAAAATGGTACTGTAGTTTTCTGGGACTTAAAATCTAAAAGAGCAGAACTGAGAGTTTACTATGATGAGGTAAGTGATTTCTACTGAAATATCTGAAAAGCCTATTGTGATTTTATGCCTGTTGTCTACTTTTACTCCTTGTATATTACCAATATTTTTATTTTTGGAAAACTGCCTCATTCTGATTCAGTTCTTCACACTGCCTATTGGTTTTTGCATGAGTTTCACCTCAGAGTTGTTCTCCTGAGTGGCAATTTTGCCTTGATGGACTATTTTTAAGCTTTTTTTTGACATCTTACATATATTGATTTCTATTACTTATCTTTTTCTTTTCTTTAGGCTTCATGATTATTTCTTACTTCTTTGTCCTTAAGGTCTCTAAAGATACTGTTCATATCTTTAGAAAACTGCTTTTCTGTGACAGAAAGTTTATGTAGTCAGTTTGAAAGGCTTTATCTTCTAATACTTGCCTTCTTAAAATAGGGAGAGATTTTAAAAATAGTAATACTTATTGTTACTAACTTAAAGTATGTTTTATCATACAGAATTGAGATTTTAGATTTTCATGTAGAGAAGTCAGTGAACTCATATTGAGGAATAGCCTCTTAATTGATCTTCAGGGGTTCACAGATTGATTCTAGGCCATTAAGTATTTTCTTCTTAAGAGGCTAATGAGAAAAGAGTGAGGCTAAGGGCAAAAGGTGAGAAAGGAGATTTATGTCTTGTAGCTGTGGAAATAAAGGTGATTATCTGGGCTCTCTAGTAAATTTTAAAAACTGGTACAGTGGTGAGAGATAGGAAGAAAATACAGGTCATAAGTCATTGTCTAGCATTACCCAGGCTTAAATAGAAAGAGTGCCAGAGAATTCAAGACAACACTAAGATAAATAGAAAATGAATTTTGACAAGAAAACACATTTTTAAAATAACAGTTCCTTTTTGTGCTCCCTTCCATCCCCTTATAAAACAGTAAAATTTAAATTTTGATGCTTAAAGATACAAGCCTTTAGTTATTCCATAACTGCTACCCCAATTCATTTCTTATTCTGGCAAAATACAATTTTATGTTCTATACAAGATTAGTATCATGGTAACAAAGAATTCAGAAGTAAATGATATAACAGCTGGGTAATTTGATCATGATTGGTGAGCAATATTCTGGCAAGCAATGTCATACAATTATGCACTTTATGAGCAACTTACGGGGCGCCTTTAATCATAAGAAGGTCCTGGAGAGCTAAGCTAGGGTTTTCCTTTTGTTAAATACATAAAAATAAAGATGAGGATGGAGATCATTTATTCTGCAAAACTAGCCTTTAGATAAGACAACACATCTGTGTGTTTAGCCACTTGGAACTAGAGTAGAGCAGCTGAAATGGAAATCCAGATGAGAATGCTCAATTAACTAGCTTTCTTGTAGCTTTAAAAAGTGTGGAAGGAAAGTTTCTAACCTTAAAAAGTAAATGAAAGCAATTTTGCAATGAAATGTCTATATAAATATTAACAATGTTAATCAGTAGAATAATATTCTTTACCTATTTTATATCTAGAATTATATAACCTATATAAAATCTATATAATGCATAATTATGTCCTGTCATTTTAATAAAGATAGTTATATACTTCATGTTATTACTAAACTTTTCAAAATTTTCTCAGCACTTTTCCTGTCATAGTTTGAAATCATCTGTAATACTTACCTGAAATAGTATCTAATAAGTCACCAAGGATCCCTTCTTAGTCTTTTAAGTTCCTCACTAAGCCTGTGACTTTACATCAGTCCTTCATTCTTAAATGGTTTCTTCATTTTTTTCTATTGTTCCACCTTATTTTTTCAACCCTCCTTTCTCCATCATTGGTTTTTTCCCTAACTCTCCTTTAAATTATACTCTTCAGGATTCTATGTCTTCACCCTCTTTTCATTCAGTTTGCATTTATGTTCATATTCAGCCTCCCATCGTTTCAAATGTTACCTATATTATGCTGATAAATTAAAATTCATATATCTTTGGTGCAAATATGTAATAATATATTAGGTAACTTCAGATGAATATTCCATTGGCACTGAATTAGTATTTAAAGACCTACTTCTCTGTCTGTGTTTTTATTTCAGTTTTTCAATTTTGATTTAGTTATTTCAATTTAGAACCCACAGAGTCATAGTTGACCCTTTTTTCTTCCTCATGTGGTATAAACAGTCACTCTTGTAGTCTTCTTGATCCCATTTTTATATTATCTCTCGTTTGTCTCTTTTTTCATTTCAGTGTCCTAGTTGAGGATGTTATCTTTTTCCTTGAAGACTATAGTAGACTTTTTTTTTTTTTGACCACAGAACTCTTTTATTTTACATTATTTAATTCTCTTAGAATACACTTTTTTTTTCCTGTGATCTTTTTTTTTTCCATTTATTTTTATTAGTTGGAGGCTAATTACTTTACATCATTGCAGTGGTTTTTGTCATACATTGAAATGAATTAGCCATGGATTTACATGTATTCCCCATCCCGGTCCCCCCTCCCACCTAATCACGTTTCCTCGGATATCTTAGCTTTGCAATATATCTTTCACTAACAAGATTATCATTTTAAGACATAACTGATCATAATTTCCTACCTCAGAACTTTTAAATGGGTCCCAGTTGTCAACAATACAAAGTCTTATTCCTTGACAGGAGGTTTAAAGCCTTGGTGCTATCTTTCCTTTGAATTTAATTTATGGCATTCTTTCTATACACTCCTCATACTTCAGACATGTTACTATCTCCTAAACATACCATTTACTCCTGACTTCAAAGCCTTTGCTTCTGCTTATACCTTATCTTGAACTCCCTTCTTTCCTCTTATGCATATCAAAGTTCTGTTAATTCATTAGCAATTGTAATGTAGAGTCTAGCCACTTGATAAATAACTACTGATGAATTCAGAGTTTTGTAAATCCAAGATCATTTTCAGAAATAAGCATATAAATTTCATTTTCACATTAGCTGTAAAGTTTTTGTTTCATCTATATTTTAAAAATAATCTCTCACAGAGAAATCTCTCAGAGTTTGACATGAGGATAAGAGCTAAGATTATTACTTAGCTTTTTGGGTTTCCTTTGTCTTTTTTGTTTACGAGAAATTCAGTCACAGCCACTGAATTAACCAAAGTTACTAGTGTTTTATTTTCCATATTGTTTTCCATTTAAAATTTCTTCTTTAATTAGTTGTATTATATTTGTTTTTTCAGAAAACCCATAAAGTCCTTCTTAAAGAATGGAGTAGGGTATAATCAAATAAATAGAAATTAAATATTTACCCATTAAGTCAAGTTCAAATGCCAGCTCTTCAACCTCTTCAATAATTGATTATTTGACTTCCTATTCTTTAATAACAGGTTGGTTTTACATGCCTACTCTTCTGTACAATAAGTGTACTTCTTTTATACAACTTATTTTGATTTTGTGTTATATCTATTGTTTTTATATCTGTCTTCTCCAGTAGACAAATTCAGTGGGATATAAAGATTAGGGCTGGGGATGCTTTCCCTGCACCTACCATTTTTATCAAAGTAGTCTGAGAGAACCTTATTAAATTGACTGAGGTTCATCCAGGTTAACATGTAGAGGAGGCAAGAAGTGGCCTTCCCCTTTAGACACATACAAAAATGAGAAGAAATAAGCAGAGGAGACAAAGAAGTGTTTTTTCCACTCTCACTGCCTCTACTGAACCCTGGTAGTAAAGAAATCTTCTCTGCCCAGTAATGGAGACCAGGGTGAGAGAAAAAATAAGTCTGTTGTGTCATGGTATCGTTTCTGATTAATCAAATCTTATCTTGAGATCCACTGATATACTGTTTCATTTCTAATATGTCTAATGATTGCTCTAGCCATCATTTGTCTATAACTCTAATAATACTTACTGTTTGGAAATATATGTGTGTGTAAATATATAAGTTTGATATAAATAAATATATTCATAACTTAGTTGTATAAATAATAAATATATCCATAACTTAATTTTATAAATATAAATTTAAAAAGTAAATATTAAAAGTTCCAAACAATAAGTATTGTTATAGTTTCCTTTCTCGCAGTTGTTTAAGTTCCTTTAAGGAAAGATCATGCTGTATACATCTGTTCAACTTTTATGTCTACTAGAGTTTCTTTCATTGTGCAATAAATAGCACATTACCCAAGTTCCCTATATACTTTACTAATTTTGAAAGAATACCAAGGGTGTGGCAACATTTGATAACATAAATACTTATTCATTTAACAGATACTTGGGTATCTACTTTATGTAAGACATTGTGTAATCATAGGGAATAAAACAATTCAGGAAAATATAATGATTGCTTTTTAATTTATAACTACAGAATGAATCTGTAGATACAAACAATTTTAAATTCTTCCTGCTTTAAGTCCATTTAAAGAGCATATGTTAGAGTTAACATAGTTCATTGATTCCAAATATGGGTTTTGTAGTTAAATGTTGGATTTGAGTGGTGTAACCTGATCAGGTATGTCTCAGTCTTTCTAGCCTATTTTACCATGCGTAATTCAGAAAAACATAATATCTGTTTGGTAGGATTAAATGAGATAATGTACGTAAACTGCTTACCTTGGGGTCTGGCACATAGTTAACCTTCAAATTGCAACTCTAATGTAAATTACTTTTTAAGTTGGTTACTTTAAGTGAGATTAAAGTAAATTCTGCCTCACCGAGATTATGTTCTGTTAACCTTGCTTTTACTTCCTTGTAATAATTTTCAAAGAAGCATGAAAGGATATGGGGAAGACATAGGATTTACAACAAAAAGTTCTGGGATCTAACAATATGAAATTTACTTAACTTTTCTTTATCTAAGGAGATAAGATTTTATAGCCTTTTATATGCCTGTAGAGAGTTGAAGCCAAAGGTAGTATGATCTAGGTCAGAAACATTAAGTGTTATTGCTGTAATAATTCTGTGTTAAAATATTTTTTCTTTGGAATATAGAATGATATATCAACTTTCTTCCTCCTCTGTTTGTTTTTAATTGTTATTTCATTAGGCTATTCATTCAATTGATTGGCATCATGAGGGCAAACAGTTCATGTGCAGCCATTCAGATGGTAGCTTGACTTTATGGAACCTGAAAAGCCCAAGTCGTCCTTTCCAGACCACAGTTCCACATGGTAAGATATATGCTTTCAAAAGAAAGAAACTCTGGAGATGCAGTGCCACTACTTGAACTGGGAAACTTGGTATCATTATCACTAAAAAGGGGTAATAGAACATAGCTTCTGATTCTAAATACCCATTTATACCTCCTTCAGATCCCTACCCAAAGTTTCTAACCTTCCCTTCTGCCTGTCTATCAACTTTCCTACATTGTAACTGAACGTATGTAGAGACCTCCCAGGCAAAAATTGAATAATTGATGATTGATGTGTCTGAAGCAGAGGAAATTATGTGGGAATTTGACCAATTTTAAGGAGTAAGGAAGCTAGTGAGAGAATGGCGCTTTATGGATCTAACTCTTAGACCTAATTTCTATACTGCTTTAGAGTCTTTTGTCTTCTAAATTCTCCCATTTATTTTCACTTATGCCATTTGAGTACTGTGGTTTTTATTGTAGGTTGTATTTCTTAGTATATTCCTCATTGAAAGGAAATATTTAGGATTTATGTTGGCTCTACCTAAGTGGACAGAATAAAGATGTCAAATGTATGAATAACTTTTATTCAGAGGCCGTATTATTTTCCATAATATAGGTGATGATCTCAGTTTTCATGTTTACCTCATACTCTTGGTTGTAAGAATAGAAAAGTCAAAACCTAGAGGTTAATCAGATACATTGTGTTACAGTTTCTGTGTGTTTATTACAGTTTTACATTTAGAAAATAGTGGTATGTTTGTACAGTGGGTGACCCATAAATCAAAAGATGGAATTATTCCAACTTGGGTTGGTCTGCCATTTTTTTGTACCATCATGTTCTATCTGCAAAAGACTAAATTATTGCAACATTTATCTTAGCAGTTTACTTAAGAGATTACCTTACATTTAGGCACTTACTTAGAGATGCTTTATTTATTTATATAGAAGTACAGTTGATATATTATTTATATTAGTTTCAGGTATACAATATAGTGATTAAATATTTTTATAGATTGTACTCCATTTAAAGTTTATACAAAATAATGGCTGTAATTCCCTGCAGTGTGCAATATTCCTTATTGCTTATTTGTTCTATACATAGTAGTTTATATCATTTCATCTCATACTCTAATTTGTCTCTCCCCCTTCCTTCTCTACTCTGATCACCACTAGTTTGTTTTCTATATCTGTGAGTCTATTTCTGTTTTGTTTTATTTTGTTTTTGGTCCCACATATAAGTGACAACATAGAGTATTTGTCTTTCTTTGAATTATTTAACTTATCATAGTACTCTTCTGTTCTGCCTTTCATTTACTTTATAATTAGACACACACAATTAATTACCATGAAGTTCCAAGTATACTTGGGAAGAATGTAATTTCCTTTTACACAAAGATCAAATTTGAAATTCTTATTTTTACTTTGTACTATTTAAATCTTCACTGTTTTTATTATTGAGTTTTCAATTCTTAGAGAAGTACCTATTATTAAAACCTCTATTATTGTGAGTTTTTCCTTCTAATTCTATTCATTTTGTGTTTATACTTTAAAAATCAAATAGCTAAATGTGGCTGATAATGTTTATCAGCTCTTCTATGATTTAACTGATATTTGCCTAGTAACCAATTTCTGAGAAACTGGTATTAAAATTTAATGGTTATAGAATTATCTGCTCTCTTTAATTCTGTCCTTTCTTTGTTTCATGTATTTTAAGATTTTATTATTAGGCATCCATCATGTCTACTGTAGAGAACATATAGTTGGGTCTTGCATTTTTATTCACTCTTACATCATTTACTTGGAGTGTTTAGTTCACTAATATTAAATATAATTACCTATGATATTGCATTTTTTGTTCCTTTTATCTCCCCCTTTTGCCTTCTTTTGGATTATTTGAAAGTTTTTTACTATAATTCATTTGAATTTACATATAAGCAACTTATCTTCATCTTCACATATTCTTTTTAACCAGTTGCTCAAGGGATTACAGTATACTTCCTTAACTTTCCATATTAGAGTTAATTTAACACTTTACATAAAATGTAGAAATTTCACAACCACATATATTTGTTTACCTTCACCCATTGTTCTTTATGCAATAGTTATTATATTTATCTAAATACAATGTTGTAATTTTTACTTTGAATACACAAGTATTTTTTCTTGTTGTATGGTTAACTTACAATGTTTTTTGAGTTTCAGGTATACAACTTAGTGATTCAGTTGTTTTTTCAGATTATATTCCAATATAGGTTATTACTGAATATAATTCCCTGTTCTCTACAGTGAATCCTTGTTGCTTATCTATTTTATGTATAGTAGTTTATATCTGTTAATCCAGTACTTGTAATTTTCCTCTCCTCCCTCCCCTTTTACATCTGTTTTCAATATCTATGAGTCTGTTTCTATTTTGTATATAGTTTCATTTGTATTATTTTTTAGATTCCACATATAAGTGATATCATATAGTGTTTGTCTTTCTCTGAGTTACTTCACCAAGTATAATATTCTCTAAGTCCATCCATATTGCTACAAGTGACAATATTTCATTCTTTTTATTGCTGAGTAATATTTCACTGTTATGTATATGTGTAACACACCACATCCTAAAACAGTCATGTGTTGATGGACACTTGAGTTGTTTCCATGCCTTGGCTATTGTAAATAGTGCTGCTATCAACATTGGTGTGCATATATCTTTTTGAGTTAGAATTTTCTTTTTTCTTTCTTTTTGGATAAATACCCAGTAGTGGGATTGCTGGGTCACATAGGTAGCTCCATTTTTAGTTTTTAAAGGAACCACCATACTACTATCCATAATGGCTATACCAGTTTATGTTCCTTCCTGCAGAGTTCTCTTTTCTCCACATCTTCTCTAGCTTTTTATTTGTAGACATTTCGATAACCATTTTGACCACTGCGAGACTTAACGTATTCTGTTTTTGACTTGCATCTGGCTAGCATTTCTCTAATAATTAGCCATCTTCTCATATGTCAGTCATCTATGTCTTCTTTGGAAAAATGTCCATTTAGGTCTTCTGCTCATGTTTTGATTGGGTTGTTGTTTTTTTTTTTTGAATATTGAGTTGTATGAGCTATTTGTATATATTAGGTATTAAACCCTTGACAGTCACATAATTTAAATATTTTATCCTATTCTGAGGGTTGTCTTTTTGTCTTGTTTATGGTTTTCTTTGTTGTGCAAAAGTTTTTAAGTTTAATTGGGTCCCGTTTGCTTATTATTGTTTTTATTTTCTTTACTCTAGGAGATGGGTCAAAAAAGATCTTGATGCAGTTATGTCAGTGTTCTGCCTATGTTTTCCTTTAAGAGTTTTATTGTATCCAGTCTTACATTTAGGTCTTTGATCCATTTTGAGTTTATGTTTGTGTATGGTTGTTAGGTACTGTTCTAATTTTGTTCTTTTACATGTAGCTGTCCTGTTTTCCCAGCACCACTTATTGAAGAGGCTTTATTTTCTCCATTGTATATTTTTGCCTCCTTTGTCATATATAAGGTGACCATGAATGCATGGGTTTATCTATGGGCTTTCTATCATGTACCATTGATCTATATTTCTGTTTTTCTGCAAGTACCATACTGTCTTGATTTCTGTTGCTTTGGAATATAGTCTGAAGTCATGGCACCTGATCCATCCAGCTCCATCTTTCTTTCTCAGTATTTCTTTGGCTATTCAAAGTTTTTTGTGTTTTCATACAAATTTTTTTAATTATTTGTTTCATTTCTGTGAAAACATGGTGGTAATTTGACAAGGATTACATTGAATCTATAGATTGCCTTGATATTATAGTCTTTTTAGCAATATTGATTCTTCCAATCCAAGAACATAGTATTTTCTTTCTATCTGTGTCTTTAGTTTCTTTCATCAGTGTCTTATAGTTTTTGGCATACTGGTCTTTTGCCTCCCTAGGCAGGTTTATTCCTAGGTTTTTTATTCTTTTTGAAATCATAGTAAATGGCATTATTTCCTTAAATTTTCTTGCTGACAGTCCATTGCTAATGTACAGAAATGCAACAGATTTCTGTGTATTGATTTTCATCCTACAACTTTACTGAATTCATTGATGAGCTCTGATAATTTTTTGGTAGTATACTTTTTATTTTCTATGTATAGTATCATGCCATCTGCAAACAATGACACTTTTATGTCTTCCTTTCCAATTTGGATTTCTTTTCTTTTTGTTGTGTGATTGTCATGGCTAGAACTTCACAACTTTGTTGACAGAGTGAACATTCTTTTTTTGTTTTTGATCTTAGAAGAAATGCTTTCAGCTTTTTACCATTGATTATGGTGTTAGTTGGGCCTTCCCTGGTGGCTCAGATGGTAAAAAAAATCTGCCTGTAATGTGGGATACCAGAGTTTGATCCCTGGGTTGGGAAGATCCCCTGGATAAGGGGGGTACTTCTGCCCACTTCAGTATTCTTGCTTGGAGAATTCCCATGGACAGAGGAGTCTGGTGAGCTACAGTCCATGGGATTGCAAAGAGTTGGACATGATTGAGAGAGGAGCATTTTCCCTTCATGATATTAGCTGTGGGTTTGTCAAATATGGCCTTTATTATGTTGAGGTATGTTTTCTCTGTGTCCTCTTTCTAGAGAGTTGTCATAAATAAATGTTGATTTTTATCAAAAGCGTTCTGCACCTATTAAGATGATCATATGGTTTTTCTTCTTCAGTATGTTGATATGGTGTATCACATTGATTTGTGGATATTGAAAAATTATTATCCTTGGTATGAGTTCCATTTTTCATGGTATGTGATTCTTTTATGTATTGTTTGATTTGGTTTGTTAGTATTCTGTTGAGGATTTTTGCATTTCTGTTCATCAGTGAAATTGCCCTATAATTGTCTTATTTGTGTGTGATATCTTGGTCTGGTTTTGGTATCAGGGTGATGCTTGACTCATAGAATGAGTTCAGAAGTACTCCTTCCTCTGCAGTTTTTGAAATAGTTTGATAAGGATAGGTTCTAATTCTTCTATAAATGTTCGTTAGGATTCACCTGTGAAGTCAATTT